TGCTAACCGGAGTCCAGCCAGCAGCGCCTCGTATTCAGCTTTATTATTGGACGCAGGGATTTCAAACCTGATGGTCGAGGTTATCTTATGTCCCTCAGGTGTATGCAATACCAGTCCTGCTCCACTGCCGTTGTCATTGGAGCTCCCGTTGACGTAGAGCTTCCACCGTTGCGGCGCATTAGCCTCCTCTGCTCCATTTGGCAACCCCGCGAACTCTACCACAAAGTCAGCCAGGGCTTGGCCCTTGATGGTGGTCAGTGGCTTGTAGTCGATATCAAATTGGCTGAGCTCTATAGACCATTTAAGCAGTCGACTAGAAGTATCGGGCTTTTGTATTACTTGCATGAGAGGATGATTTGTCAAGACCTGAATACTATGGGCCTGAAAGTAGTGGCACAACTTCCTCGATGTCACAACTAGTGCGAGGGCGAGCTTTTCCATCTGGGGATATCTCATCTTCGCGTCAAGGAGGCGTTTGCTGGTGTAATACACCAGCAGTTGCACCTTCTTCTCTTCGCGGATCAACACCGAACTAACGGCGTGTTCCGAGACCGCCAAATACAGGCCCAGCACTTCTCCGGCTGCCGGCTTGAACAGCAGAGGTGGTTTCCCAAGGTGTTCCTTTAATTATTGGAATGCCTGTTCACACTCCTCCGTCCATTGGAACGGCTTGCTTCCTCTCAGGGTATCAAAAAATGGTATGCACTTATCCGTGGACTTTGAGATAAATCTATTAAGTGCAGCCACACATCCCGTCAGCTTCTGAACCTCCCTAGGCTTCCTTGGTGACTTCATATCGAGGAGTGCATGTATCTTTTCCAGGTTGGCCTAAATTCCTCGACTACTCACCATAAAACCCAAGAATTTTCTTGACCCGACGCCGAACGCACACTTGTGGGGATTTAACTTCATTCTGTACATCATGAGGACGTCGAACATTCCCTTGAGGTCCCCCACATAGTCCTCAATTTTCCTGCTCTTCACCAGCATATCGTCCACATACACTTCCATGGACTTTTCCAATTGTTCCGCGAACATCTTATTGACGAGGCGTTGATAAGTTGCTCCCGCATTTTTGAGACCGAAGGGCATGACTTTGTAGTAGTAAAGATCCGTATCGGTAATGAATGTCATATGTTCCTCGTCGCGGTCGAACATTGGTATCTGGTTGTACCCGGAGTATGCGTCCATGAAGCTCAGGAGTTCGTGCCCCATAGTAGCGTTGACCAGCTGATCTATCCTTGGCAGCGGGAAGCTGTCCTTGGGACAGGCTTTGTTCAAGTCGCTGAAGTTGACACATGTTCGCCAGCTTCCGTTGGGCTTTAGTACCAACACGGGGTTCGATACCCATTCGGGATATAGGACTTCTCGAATGAAGCCATTCCTAATCAGTTTGTCGACCTCTTCCCATAGGGCCTCGTACCGCTTGGCGTTCATGGGTCGACACTTTTGCCTCTTGGGTGGACACTTCTCGTCGATGTTTAGCCTGTGGCACATGATATCAGGGCTTATCCCTTCCATGTCTTCGTGAGCCTAGGCAAACACGTCAAGGTTGCTCCTGAGGAACTCGACCAATCCTTCCCGGCTCTGCTCCTCAAGCTCCGAGCCCACCCTCAGCCTTCTTGTAGGCTCCTTCTCGTCAATGGGGACCTCAATCAATTCCTCGACCAGTCATGTTCCTGTCTTTTCACCTGGGAGTCTCGAATCTAGATCGAATTCTCCTGCCCTGGTCGCCACCATTCTCATTTCTCTCCTTGCCTGCGTCAGCTCGGCATAGTGGCGGACCGTCTCTGAGTACGTGAGCCTCGACTCGTACTGGTTTCCTCAGACTTTTTCGATCCCGGTGGGAGTCACAAACTTCATCATCTGGTGATAGATTGGCGTAACAGCCTTTAATGCCCTCAACGTCGGGCGCCCTATGACCGCTTGTATTGGTCACCTCCCTTCACCACCAAGAACTTTGACATTATAGTCGAGGTGTGTGGTCGGTCTCCAATGGTCAGAGGCAGCTCTATCGCCCCTTCTGGGATGACACTGTCCCTGGTGAAGCCATATAGAGGTTGTGCGCTGTTTTGCAGCCTCTCGCGGGGAATCCCCATCTTGTTGAGGCAGTCGAAGTACAAGATGTCCACCGAACTACCATTGTCAACCAGGATACGGCAAACCGTGTGGTTACCGATCATGGCCTCCACGACTAGTGCGTCGCTTTAGGGGAAAGGCACCCCATTCGCATCGGCCTCCGAGAACGTGATCTCGGCCTCTTCGTATCGCGCTGCCTTGGCCTCTCTTCCGGAGATGTTCATGACCTTCCGGTTGAACTTGTCCTTTGCCTCTCACGCGTAATCCTTATGTGCACGGCAAGAGGTGCCGCCGAGGTATGGCCCTCTGAAAATCATTCTTATAACACCGGCGGGTTCCGGCGGATTGTCATGCCTCTGATCCTCCCGTCGGTCGTTATTACGTCAATTGTTGTTGTTCCGACGGTGGGCTCGGTACTCACTGAGCCTCCCTTCTCGGATCAATCTCTCAACCTCGTCCCTCAGGTCATAGCATTCGGCTGTGGTGTACCCACTCTCGCCGTGAAACCTACAATATTTATTTTGGTTTCTCCGCGCCGGGTCAGACTTCAGCGGCAGAGGTCGACTCAGGACTTAGAGGTGACTGATCTCATGATAGACATCCTCCATCCCCATGGTTAAGGGGGTGTAGGCGTCGTACTTTTGCGGCTTTGGTCACTTATTATCCCCCTGGCTCATCGAGGCGTTGCCACCCCTGTTGTTTAGAGCCGGGTTGTACCTCTGCTCAGCTTGCACATGAGGATTACCTCGGCGCTTCTTACCGTTGTTTTGATTGCTCATATGCCCTACCTCTTCCTTGGCAGGGGCCGCCGCTTTGTTCTTCAAGGCCTTCTTAGCCTCATCGGCGTTGATGAACCCCTGCGCCCTTGTCAGGAATTCCTGGTAGGTGTGGGGTGGCCTCAGATCGAGGTCTGTACTGTAGGGGATGTCCTTTTTCATGCTCGACAGTGCCCCCATTAAGGCTACCTCGTCAGAGATTTCCTCAGTAGCGGCCACATGTTCCCCAAATCGGGCTATCCAGTCCTTCAGGGATTCATTAGGCCCCTGGTACACCCTTGACAGGTTTTGTTTAGGTTTGATGTATTTTTTGACACTTATGAACTGAGTCAGGAAGGCGTTCTTTAAATCGTCCCAGCTAGTAATAGAATTTGGCTTCAGGGACCTAAACCATCTCCTGGCGGAATCAGAAAGATGATTCCTGAAGGCTCGGCACATAACCTCCTCGGGGTACCCATGCAGGACCATATGCCCTGTGTAGACTTCTAAGTGATCATCCGGATCACTCCTTCCGTTGTACAGCGAAATGGGGGGAGGTTTGTACTTGTCAGACAATGGTACCCGGATAATGCTTTCTGTAAATGGATGGTCGTGGGATGTGTACATCTTGGTGTCGACGTTTACAGCTTCGGCCACCTTTCCCACGACCTGCTCAAAGTTGTTCAATCGACTCCCTATTTGCTTTTCTAGTCTGACCATCTTTTCGGCCAGGGCTTTGTTTTCGGCCACGAGCTCTTCCTCTCACGTCGAGCGTTCAGCTTTGTCCTGAGGTCTCCCTCGCGCGCAGACGAGGATTCCACTGGGACAACGTTCCTCCTGTTCGCGTCCTGCTGCGGTCGAAGGGGCATGTCCCTGTTATTCGCAGCTTGCGCTGCAGCCTGCTCCACTGCTCTCCTCCTTGCTGCCCATTGTCTACTCCCCACAGATCTGTTCGACCTGGTCGGGCGCGGATTGTTGGCTCCACTGTCACCGACCTCCTCGGCGTCACCGCATTGATCACCAATCTCTTGGTTCCCAACAGCGGCGTTCACCGGGTTCATCGGTGCGTCTTCCAAGGGTGGCATCGGGTTCTGCCCTTGATCCTGCCCGGCAATGGCTGTAGCCATCGTTTCCACGGTGGCAGTGAGCGTTTCAACCTGCTTTTGAAGCTGGTCAATACGGTCGGGGGGATTTCCAGCGGCTGGTAAGGGTGGATTCGTTGAAGTCCCTATGATGGTGGGAGTTTGGTCGACCTAGCTTTTCTAGTTGGTAGTCACGCCGCAAGTATTCCTGGGAGGCATGTTTGGTTTTTTTTAAAATAAAAAAACTGGATTAGATTTCTGGGTTTGGGGCCCTTCTTCTAGCGTCAATTGTTGACGGTGTTTTTCCAACAACTCGTAATTACTTCTCCGGAAATTCTCACAGTAACATTCACGGATTAATTAGAGATTAAAGCAATGGAATAATGTAAAGAAGACAAGGATTTATAGTGGTTCGGCAAGATTTCTTGGCCTAGTCCACTTGTGGATGCACTAATCTTTCTAGATTACAAGTTCTTTTTCCTATAATGGAATAGTGCGTACCCCTTCAATGGGTCTTTTTAGCTCTATTTATAGGCCTTTACATATAATGATCTCATCTACAAATCCCAAGGGAGCAATCTTCTATCCCGGGATTTAGGGGTGGCGTAGGTGCATTTTCATGATGACAATCTTAGGAAATCAGGCCAACCTCTCTTACCGACTACCTGATTTCCTGGCTGCGACAGTAGCAGTTGGCACAGTGCATCCTTCCCTGAGTTGACAAGATTGTTGATGGATTTGACTGGACATGCTGCCTTGACGTAATGGCCACCATAAGACGAGTCATGGTGCTCGACGCGCATCGTCCCGCATGGGGTCTCGACGTCCTAAGGGCACTTTAGCTACAGTGATTCCCTCGACGCCAGTGACCGATTCTCAACGGGGAGTCCTCGACGCTTGTCGTTCGAGAGAATGGTCGGTTGCTCGACCATGGTGTAACAGAAACTTTTGTTGTTAAGAGATTAATTGTTTGATCTTGTATTTTCTCCATCTACTTTTAATCAACCCACATGTAGCTCTTTAACAGATCCGATCAAATCAATATCCGCAGCCAAGTATAAATAAAGCATTCGCAGTCGATTGATATTGTGGGTGGAATATTCCAATCCATCCCTTTTCCAGTCTTTCCAAACAATGAACGATAACTATATGATGCTTGCTTCCAGAGTTTTTGTTTTCCTTAAAAAAATTAAATATCCCCAACATGCTCCAATATGTTTTTTTTTTTTTTTTTTGTGTGCCAATTACTAGATAAAATATAGTAAATGTACAGAATAAACAGATTAAGTTAATGGAGCACGTGAGCAAATATATTCCCAAGATAGGAAACATTAGCTTTGCGACAACCAATAACTTGCTTCCACTAATTCTCAATTGGAGGAATGTTACTTGTCCAAAAGTACTACAGAACATGCCGGCATCAACAACCCACGTTTCGATTGTTATAGAACTGTCAGCGCCTCAAATTCTTTTCCGCTCAAAAATCATTTAGAAGACATTTAGTTGGAAAATTTAAATTATGTGATTCGAATTATTTTTTATTTACGTGAATTTTTTGTGAGAAAAAATAGAAAATTTAAATTATGTGATTCGAATTATTTTTTATTTATGTGAATTTTTTATGAGAAAAAATACTGTAGCGAATCACGAATCATGTATTTATTATTTGACACGTACACTCTATTAACATAATATAATATTAATTTAATATTTTAATGAGATAATAAAATTCACGTGTTAAACAATAAATATAAAAAGTGACAAAAAATTATAAAAAAAGTAATACTAACATTTTTCTTTCTACTGTTTATATCACCAAACATATTTATTGGAGCTAAGGAATCAAGTCCCAGACCACAAATAGAAACATGTGAATTGTCCTCCTCTATGGAAAGGATTTTTCTTTTTCCACGTTGTTTAAATTTGGTGACTTGTACAGTACAGTTGTACTCTTTTCCACAAGCTCATCCATTCTACCACAGAGAGATCCAAGTGGGATGCTAAGGCAAATTGTTCTTGATACGATACTACCATCTTATTTCACTTGTGGTGGTTGGGTTGAGAATATAGATTCGTCCATATACTTGTGGTGGCTGGGTTGAGAATATAAATTCGTCTATATGTCACGTTGAAGATGCAAGTCTCTAAAATTTTTTTTATAAGTAAATACTTTTAAGAATTAGACGCCTTAATTCTAATTAACAAGAGCAATAAAAATCATAAGAAAATAAATCAAACAAAAAATCGACGTATAAAATTTATAAAGGTTCGCCTCAATTGAGACTACATTCTCTTTCGTATTTTTTTTTTTTCAACTATAATCAATAAGAAGTTATAAGAGAAAATCGTGCACATCTCAATTCTCGGTGTTTTTTTTACCTCTCTAAATAATTTCTAAAACAGCGCCCCCATTTTTATAATGAAAATTAGAGCAACCAAGTTTTACAAGTGTGAAATTTCTAAACTACCCTTGATAAGATTTTAGTCAATGCAATTAATTCGACTTCACAACTTAATATATACAAAAACAAAGACACACACAATCTCACCAGACAGATCGATTATCCACTAAGTGATTGGAATACTTATACCACCCTTTATCCCCATAATATTGTATCTTTGAAAACACCAAAAAAAAAAAAAAAAAAAAAAAAAAAAAAAAAAAAAAAAAAAGTTCCCTGCCTAGGGCATGAATTTAACTATTACATTTATTGTTTATTAGAAAAATATTTTTATAAGGTAGACAAATAAGTTCTAAATAATCGTTAGACTCTGTTAATTATAGCTTAAAGGATATAGAGAGTTAAGAAGAGGGAGTATAATAATTTTAAAATATTATAAATAATGGTGAATATTTTATTTGTTATTTGAAAAACATAGCACAAGAAAAAGATAATTAATTTGTATGACAATGCTCTCCATAAAATGTATCTATATCATTAAAAACAAGTTATGAAACAGAAACTTAATGCAAATAAATTTTAAATTTCTTATTAATATGAGGTTTTAGTCTATATAAAATGATAAAATCATCATTTTATCATGTAATACATTATTATTTAATTTGACCATTTTCTCGTAGCCCTAAGTAACAGAAAAGTAAATAAACTAACACAACATTTCGTAGTTTTTGATGGGCGATGATTCAGAAGTCACCTTCAACACGTAATACAATTATTACTTAATTTAACCACTTTTTCTTAAGTTATAAATAAAAGAAAACTTTATATATCAAGTAAAGAAAAAGTACAAAAGGTGAAGGGCTGGAAACAAAAACTAATCATTTTTCTTAAGCTATAAATAAGAGAAAATAGTAAATAATAAGAAAGAAAAAAATAATAAAGGCAAAGGGTATAAAAGAAAACGTAAATTTAACCACTGTTTTTTAAGCTAGAAAAGAGTGATAATAAGTAAGTAAAAAATAAAAAAAAAATGAACGGTATAAATAGAAAAAAAAAATTAAACTGCATTTTTTTTAGCCCTAAGTAAGATAAAAGAGTAGATAACAAATAAGTAAATAATAAAAATGGTGAAGGGTATAAATGAAAACACAAATTAATCGCTTTTTTTTAAGCCCTAAATAGGAGAAAGGAATAAATAACAAGTAAAACATACAAAAGACGAAGAGCATAAATGAAAAAAATTAATCGATCGCTGCCTGCTTCATCACATTTTTATTATATAATATTTTATCTCTAAAAAAAATAAAAATAAAAATAAAAAAACTTCTCTCGTATTGCCCTACCATAATTTTCTCCTTTTCCCTGATTTCACTATGGGCCCGTTTAGTTCGCTGATTCAAGTTGAGATGTGACTTTATGTTATAGTTTTTTACTATAGTAAAAAAGTTAGATTTGACTGTTTCTGAGAGCTTTTTACTGTAACAAAACTCAAATTCTAAACTCGAATTGGTAAAATGAACGAGGCCTATATATCTCAACGTGGTAGGCATTCAAATTTCCACGAGCTTTAATCGAAATTATCACGCCCTATTAAACGGATGAAAAGAGGATGAAAGGATTATGGACCGCTCGTGTCTGCGTAAAGACGTAAAAAAGACGTCAATTAGTGAAAGAATGGATAATAGAGGTATCTAACTGTAACCCCCACTTTGTAAATAACTGAATCTGTCCTCCATGTGTCCTTATAATCCGCTGAAATATTAGTATAATTCTTTTATATTAAGTCATAATAGTTACTATTTTAATAACTAAAAATTATTTTTAAGTATGACGATAACGACTATCATGCACATCTATCGTGAATAATTATATGAATAATATTAAAAAGTACATCAATAAATGACTTTCATTTTTAATATTAATAATAACATGCACATATGTCGTTTTTACTATTAATATCAGTCATTTCATCGTAACTTACTGTCATATTTAAACATGAATAATTTTATCGTGAAGAATTACATCAGTCATTTTTTTTATAAGCACATCCGATCATACATGAAGATTTATTTGGAGCAGATGTCATCATGGCATGCAATCAGAGAATTCTTAATCTAGAAAGAAGGTTAACATGAGGAGACAAGCACGTGAACAACAACTTAAATGATAAAAAGCAAAACAAAAAACCATAATAAACATATTACAACTTAAATGCAGTCAACCACATTACAAGTTTGTGATTCTAGTTAAATTCTCAAAATAGATAGTCTATTAAATGATTAAAAAAAATTTAGAATGGCAAATCACGAGGAAAAAAATCCAATTAGAATTATCTATTCATCTATCTATAGCTTTATTATTATTCATAATAAAAACAACAGTCGTTTCTTAATTTGTCTTTTAATATTATTCATATAATTATTCATAATAAATGTACGTGATAATCGTTTATTGCGTATACTTAAAAACGACTTATGATTCTCAAAATAGTGACTGTTATGATTTAATATAAAAAAATTATAGCAGTCCTTTAACCGGTTACAATGGGAGAAATCTACCCTACAAAAGTGTTGCTGGTCAAAAAATGCCAATTTAATAGAATTCCATCATGAATTGACTATTCAAGAATATTCATACATACATAAATGCATGCACGCATATATATATATATATATATATATGTATGTATGTATATAAATGTGTATGCATATGTATATACATTTCGTCTTTCTTTTCACATGTACCTATTCCTTTCAATGAAACGAGGCTAACAATTGTTGGAAGGAAAAAAAAAAAAGTTTAGTCAAGTGAAACATATGCTTTAATTCAACATACGTACCGACTACCAAGCCACTGTAACAAGTCGCTTTCTATCAATAGACCCTGCCCACACAAAATTTCTTATAGCCCACTCTTAAATCTTTTACTAGTTGAATTGACCACTTGTAAATCACGAAGTTGTGACTCAAAGAGCTCAGAACACAACATTAGTTGATTAATGTTAGTCTTCCAAGTTCCAGCAAGAGAGAGTTTTGACCTTCCTAGGCAGCAAACTTCAACTTTGTTTTATGAACAATGCAATAGGGCATGCAACACCCACTAATAGAAGATAGATCATGGAATATGGAGCCCACTTTCTATTCATGATGGTGCTTAGCACCGGTGGAGTCCTTAAAGCAATTTTCTTGTTTTATATGCTATAAGCAGCAGGCTGAATTCGGCCGTAACTATTGTACCACTCCTGATACGTTTTAACATGTCATTCACCATCAAAAACTCGAGAGAAGGGGACATTTGAAAGATTCTAGATACTGGATCTCACAAATACCAACTCAGGAGGCTACTCAAATTCAGACCCAAGTTCGAGAGTATTTCTAAAATTTGTCTTAATAAAAGATATACAAACCTTTTCATTGTTGCCGTATTTTCTTTTTACTGATATGAGACGAATACCTTACACAAAAAATTGAAAAATATTCCCCTAAAAAAGTATAGAAAAATATCTAGCAATCCAAATGAATATTTTGAAAACTATACTTTACTAGTTCATCAACCCAACGGTCAAGAAGAACATCTGAACTGCATAAACTTCCCAATCAAAGATGAAAAAGTAAATTCACCTCAATGTTCTACACCTTTGTAAGGCAAGAAAGCAGCATGTTGAAATTGGGTCACAAACTTCTCTAAGATCAGTGGGACCACTTGCTCTTGGTCCCCTAGCTGCTACCTGCTAATCAGATTGTTAGTTTACCAATCCATCTCAAAAGCTTAAGCTGTTAGGAGGTGGACTAACAGTAGTTTTATACTTTAACACTCCCCCTCACGTGTGGACTGGACAATAGGCAATCGTGTGGGTAAATTAATTGAAAAGTCCAACACGTGAATATTTAAGCCTGAGATATATAAAGACCCAACACGTGATGATAATTTTTTAAATGGGGATAAAGAGTGCAATTACGGGAATTTGAACTCAGAACCTCCCGCTCTGATACCATGTTAGTTTACCAATCCATCCCAAAAGCTTAAGCTGTTAGGAGGTGGGCTAACAGTAGTTTTATACTTTAACACAGATTGACAAAAAATTCTCAATCAAACATCTCCGACTCCAAAAGCTACAGAGAATCCATTTTATGGCTTGTCAATACTAAGAGTGTTTAGGCCGAACCAATCACTCAGAAATTTAAAACTGAACGAAGACAGAATTTGGTCAGTTTGGTTTGTCCAACCGACAGCATCAAGAGCGGTTGTTCAGAATGAAGGGTTCAGGGTCAGTTATTGATGGATTCAAACTGGTCCTGAACACCCATAGCCAAAGTTGGAGGCTCGAGCCACTAACCATCTACAGCTCAATTGAATCTGATTATAGTGGTCAGGAAAAAGTTGCAATTACAAGTTGGCAAAGGGATTGGAATATGATCTCAAACACCGTATATCTAATTTCTACCCACAAATTAGTTCTAGTTCCCGTATGTTACAACTACGATAAAAAAATTTGCTTCAAGAGTCGTGTTTCCACAATGAAAACTGAACAGTCTTTTACTTTACCACCTTTTTCCATTAAAAAAATGTTAGCCTCGTTTAATGCAACAAAATCGACCATTACAAGTCGTTATGCCCAAAAGAATAAGACACAGAAACTGGAACAAGATTTGCTAGGAAAAATATTTGATAAACAATTACAAAAGGTATGGATCTATCAAGTCATACATCAAGTGATATTATCTCACCAAAGCACCAAAGAGTAACAAGATGCTATAATAGATGTACCTGTTAGATGCTAGAAAAAGAAAGTTACTTCACCAGACTCGTACCTACTCAGCTTCTTCGCCATCTTGCGTGTCATCTTCACTTACCAGATGACTGAGCATAACTCTTTTGTTTTTCGGTTCTGCCGAGGCTTCCTTAGACTCGTCCTCATCACCCTTTCTCTTCAATTTTTTATCTTCTGATTTATCATGTGCAGTTTCAGCAGCTTCACTGCCTGAATTCTCTTCTTCCTTCTGAGAAGACTTTTGATTAGATTCTTCGGCTTTCTGTTTGGCATTCAGACCTCCATTCTTAGACAAAATTTCATATTCTTCCAAATAGGAGCGGATTTCTTCATTGTCTGCACAATCAAGAGGGGTCTTTCCTGCTTTGGTCTTTGAACTTAGACTCGCACCTTTCTTTACCAAGTACTTGACAAGTTCTAGGTGCAAGCCTTGCACAGCGTAGTGTAATGGAGACAGGCCTTTGCGAGTGGAAGCTTTGATGGATGCCCCAGATGAGAGAAGAGTCCGAACAACTTCAAGATGTCCCTTCTGAGCAGCAAAGTGTATTGCACCCATGTCATCCATGGCAGCAGCACCAACATCGGCCTTATGTTTGCAGAGGTAACTTACAACTCCTACCTGCCCGGACCATGCCGCTAAATGAAGTCTATTTTCAGAGTTGCTTGTCAAAGGAAAAACGTTGTGATGCCAGAGTTCTAGCAATAGGAATTAGAAGTGGAAATAAAGAGTAGAATCAAAACTTGAGCCTATAAGCTATAAATGCGGTTTATAAAAGTGTCTTGAACCCCTGCCAGATACCAATTTGAGATCTGGTGTGCAGATTGCTGATCGGGGTGGTTTTGAGCAAGGCTGACAGAGACCTGGAAACTTTCAATAGGCAAATTAAAGTTCTTTACTTGATGGCAGACCCTTCAATCTACATATGTGTGTTTGTTAATCTACATGCATAATAACATATCTACACGTATATAACATACATATGTGTGCATGTACATGTGCATATAAGGAACGGTATTCAAAACCAACACACTCACAGACAGAAATATAATTTAGAAGGCTGGAGTTCGTTCAAGATTGAGACATGCTGGAAGATTACCAATCAGTATGTAAATAAATATTTTTCAACAAGGCCGAGTAACTCGCAGACCGTAGCAAGTTAAAGTGGAAAGAACAGGGCAGTACTCATAGCATCTTGGCAATTGCCACAATCCAAAACCTGGTTCTATCAGATACAAACATGTATTGTATTCTAGGCTATGCTTCGTAAAAGGGAAAGACAGTGAGAAGGAAAGAGAAGGTACATGACCTATATGAGGATCTTCTCCTTTCTATCGTACCAAATAATCTATTCCGTCACCAAATTTCAAAAGCAAGTTACATAACTACAACTAAAAACTTTCAGAAAACTATAAGCCGGAAAGCTCGATTAAACCCAAATAAATAACTAACTACCATACACAACCTTTTCAAAAATAAAGGTTTCTCTATATAATATGCAACATTTTTACGACACAAATTAAGTAGCAAATGATTAGTGGATCCAAGTTTTAACACGTAGAACATATGCAAAGCTCATAATCACACAAACCATTAGAACACTTTAAAACACTTTAAAAACAACAGTAGGTTCCCACAACTATGTCTTGAAGCCGTTCTAATAGCTAGTGATATTAAATCAAAGAAATTTTTTTTGAAAAAAATGTTATGTTATGGTATAACCCACCTCCCAAATGCGAAATCAATGAACTTCAACACTGAAGCATGTAAAAATGTCCAATAGATTGAAATATACTTAATTGGTAATATTTATACGGAAGCAAACGAAAAAGGGAAAAAGAAACGAAGGGATTTAAGAAGGATACGGAGTTCTGGAGTGCTTATCTCTGGAATTGACGGCCAAAGGATCGGCGCTGAGGATCGACTCAACGGCGCCCAGGTCGCCGGACCTGGCCGCGAAGTGAAGCTCGTCGCCCTTACTCCGATTCTCAGGTTTCCCCATTTCCACACTCTCCGATACTCACACAACGACAACTAGTCCAAGAACGACAACGGGTCCCGATGAATAAGGGTGGGTTATTTGCCCTGAAAATGTTTTCTCTCGGTTTCGTATTTTCATTTTTCGTTTAAAATGTTTAATTAGTAATTTAATTGCTAAGTTGTCAAAATTTGTAATAATTTTAGGCGTATTCTTTTCACAATTTAAGTTGAGAAATTAAGTTGTAAAGTGAATTAAGTGAATTTTATATAAAAAAAATATTATAATAAAAAAATTAAATTTAAATTTTTATAAAAGAAAATACTTTAAAAAAATTTTGAGTTAAGTTTTGAATTGTTAAAAGAATAGTCTTTAATAGTGAAGAAGTTATTCTAATTTTACTTTAAAAAAATTTTGAGTTAAGTTTTGAATTGTTAAAAGAATAGTCTTTAATAGTGAAGAAGTTATTATAATTTGTGACTTTTTAGTATTTGAATTTTTTTATATTTCATAGATTAATTTATAAATGCTTATTGAGATTTGTATCATATTTTAATATATTCCTGAATTTTAAAAAGAAATTTATTTTAATCTTTCATGTATAAAAAAAAGGTTTATAGAGTACCTTGAACTAATATTGTTTTATAAATACTCTTAAATTATTAATTTTGTGTCAATTATTTTTCTGATTTTTTAAAAATTCAAGGGAGAGTTGACACAAAAATAAATAATTTAAGGGGAAATTAACTTAAAATCAATAGCTTAGGAGAGATTTATAAAACTATAAATAGTGTTATATCATCATTTTATTAGTTTATAAATGTAAGAATATTTCAGACTAGAGCCTTATATGAAGAGCAAAACTCCTATTTTTTTCGTTTGATCGTCAATTCCAAGATCACTTTTAGGGCTCGTGACGATACGTGAGCTCACCATCTTCGTTCTGAAGCTTAAAAACATACTGAAACAGATTATAAAATGTAGGGTTATTTATGAAATTAATTTATTTTAAAAATTATTTTATAATGATTTAATTCCATACAATTGAAAAGAGATTTTCTTATAATTTAGTTTCATGAAATACCCTTGTAACGACGACATTGGTTGGCCATGTCACAAGGAGAAATTGGATGAAAGGACTCAACTGCTACATAAACAGTAATCTCGGGAATAAAATACAAAACAAAAAAAACAGAGGTCCTAAGTGCAACACCAACATAACATCGAGGACCTAAGGCTAAATTCCTTTTTATATTTATTTTTCTTTCCGCGTTTAAACGAGTCATATGCATGTATATAAATATAGCTCTCCGAATTTGGCACTGCATATTTCCCTCCCTGCTTCAGCAATTCGAATCTCTGAAGTTTGAAAGCGCCAAAATGAAGAAGAAAGGGGCTCGTACCACCAACACCACTCCCGGCGTTCGCAATGGCGCTCGCGGTCGCGCTCGCGGTCACAACCGCAAGCATTCGGCGGCGGAGTTTCTTGAGACTCCATTGACGATGGATTCTCCTCCGAGCCAGTCTCCGGAATCGGCCATCTTTACAGGCAGCAAGAAGCGCCAGAACATGAAGAAGACCGTTTCCGCTGATTCTCCGGCCCCCGCTCTCTTCATGTCGCCGTCTCGCCCTCCGAGAACCTTGAGCTCCATCTCCGATCTCAAGGATCTCGCCTCCTCGCGCCTCGACGATCTCAAGCGCCACATTGATCGCTCTCACTCCGAGATCCTCAAGGACATCGATGCTTCTTCCTCTCGCCTCCACAGGCGCTTCAAGGTCTCTCTCTCTCTCTCTCTTTGATGAGAAAAATACGGAATTAGATTCAATTAGAAAGTGGAATTTTCTCTTTCTAGCTAATTGAAGTCCCAATTGACCATAATAAGTAGATATCTTATTTTGTTTCTTTAATTTCTGGCTCTTCTTGGTGATTTATTGCTTGGAATTTGTTTCGATCGTTGAATGCTATTGAATTGCCGTTTTTGTTCGTCAAGCACAGTCTATATGTTTTCGGACCAATAGTTATCCGATTGAGCCACATTGAATCCCTACACTCCTTTCGAGGTTCACTTATCAAACTAACCAACTGTTTGCTTTCTTGTGAAATTAATCACATTCATTATTTCTTGTCTAATTTCCTTTAGGTACAAAAGCTTCAATTGATTTCTTTCAGCAAGCATCTGATGGCAGATATATTGTTTTTCATATATTTGCCTTCAAAGTCAATGATCTTTAATCGCATAGCATAGTTTCCATAATCCCATTAGTAGATTAATTTTCTGAGCAATTTTCTAATTGATCAATCATTAGATGCTTCAATTGCCATGTAACCAGGGATTTGTCTGCTAATTTTCTTGGCCGTATGTTTCATTTTCCAATCCTATAGATTCAGAATCAAGAACGCCAGAAAGTGTCAGACGAAACAGAGAAGGAATACAAGAAGATATCTGAAAGGATTGACAAAAGTCAAGAAGCACTGATGGTATTTACTACTTCTCCAAATACCATCAAGTTTTGCTTTCAACTTTCAAAATCTTTCTATTCGTAGAAGAAAGATAATCTACTAGTTATTTTGCAGACTTCATATGCAGAGTTCATGGCAGATGTACAAGCCAGCACATCTCATGGTATGTTCTGCGACTTTATAAAGAACTTAAGAACTTGTTTAAACTTCATCAGCATAATTGAAACTGTTGTCTAGTAATTTTCACATATGTACAGCATATCTTAGAACCCAGCTTGATTGGATAGTCTTAGTTGATCAATCTGCATTCTAAATTATAGATTAGAAAACCTTGGGACAAATTTATCAAGACATGCTCCATTACCAGTTTTACAACTTATTTTTAATCACTGGTTCTTTTGGCTTCTGTCATAGATAGCTTGTCTTATTTTTGGACATATGGGGTGGTTGTTGGCGTCTTGTGCTTGTCTCATGAATATGATTCTGTCTAGTCAAATATGGACTGCCAGACATGTAGTATCTCCTAATTTTTAGTGACATTAAATAGCATGCTTCAAGAAAAGAAAAGGTTCAATAAGTGGAAGTCCTATTTATGGAGAGTGACATTCTAGATCTAGACCTTCAGGAAAGTCTAATTTTGAACAAAGGTGTGTGGAAAAGTGAAATCCATATAGCCGACCCCAGTTAAATTGGGATTAAGGCTTGTTGTTGTTGTTGTTGACTGTGTATACTGGGCGGAAGCAAAAGTAGATTTCTGTAAGTCATAGACTATAATCTGCTTCGGTTTGAAATGTTGATTATACCAAATTTGCAGCATGCACATCTGTCACCAAGCTGTCACAATCCTTTGAGAAGAGTATTGATGCTCTACGAAGCCGCTATGGGATTTGATAGCCATTCCTTGTTCATGACATTCAGTCAAAGGAGATACAGGTGAGCTTTTTAATGCTTAAATGACTTCTTTTAATATGTCAGGAAAAAAAATGTTTCAAAAAACAAGGTGAAACAATTTGGTGCCTTCTGCTGTATTTCTGCCTCCTAGGTGGTGAGTATGGACACACTTCAGGGTCATGCATGTGTTATATAAACTAACAATTCAGATCAGCCTAAAATCCAGGGAAATTAGTTCTGCTTCACCTTTCATCAAGAAAGATGGCAGATAACTGTAAATATAGAAAAGCTTTGAAACAAGTATGCAAACATTGTACTTTTGTTAGTCAGTGAGAGATGGGATTGTTAACAAAATGTCAAGATGGCGAACTCTAGAATTTTGAATTTCCTATATGATGAATTCACTGAACTTATGGAAGACCAAAGGCATACAAGATCATTTTATCTGCTGGAATACATTTTATCCTAGCATAGTCTTATAATTATATCTTAAAAGACATGTCCCTGTTACTCCTACTTAATTTTATGACAGCCAGTGGATCCTTTTTTCTTTAAAATTGTTCTTGCAGAACAAGAATGCTTTCAGTATTCTTGATCTTTGTACGTATAGGCTCCATTTTTACCCGTTTTCTACTTTTATTCACATTACGCTATAAATACTTCAAGTCACATATTACAAGTATGAAAATAGAATGAAATGAAGCCTCAACATTCCCTTTATTGCATTAAGTGCAAGCTGTTTTAATGAAAACAGTTCTTTGAACTCAGTATCTTGCTAGAATTAGACGAATATGAACAGAATTATCCTTGATTCTCCTTATATCTCCTAATAATTGTGGAAGCTACTTTGAAACAAGCACTTAATTCCCATGCCTATACAGATTCTAACGTCATGACTATTTGTTGGGTTATGCTTTCTAGGATGTATAGTTGAAGACAAAAAACTGGTCCGGATTCGGGAGGATTTTTTACCCTCAGCTGATAAGATGGTATGAATTTGGAAACTAAATGTTGAGAACTATCTACCATTCTTGGCGCTTTCTCTAGAAAATCATTCAAGGTACATTATGTACAAAAACCTGGTTCTGTTAATATGTGAATGATTGTTACAGTTTCATGGACCAAAATATTGTACTTTAGATAATACACAATATAGTCGTTTAGAAAGGAGAGCACACATGGCCTCGACCAGACCATGTAGAACTCTAGGATTTTGAATAATAGATTTTCTTTGTTAAGGCTGAGATATGAATATGAAGTAAGATTGCTTTTACATTTTGCGTTAATTCCAATATACCATTTGATATTCATATTACACTTTTTTTTTTTTAACGATTAGCAGGATTATCTACATTAAATTACTGTTTTGGTGCAAGAAAAATCGTTTTTTTTTTCCCCCAATACCTAATCTGGCGTTAAGGGTCAAGTACACCAGTTTTGAGAGTGCCTACAAATCCAAACTAGTTTCTTTTTTTTTTTTTTTTGAGACAAACTAGTTTACCCGCAAACAAGACTTCTGCACCATAATATAGTGCTCATCGCACTTTACTGTAAAATGGAGAGAAAAAAACTGTATTAGAATGATCCCTGAACCAAGTGTTGGGGTGACCTGATTCAATCAAAAAGAAAAAGAAAAAGAAAAGAAAAAAAAAGAGTATTGCGGTGACATGACTACTACTATAACCAAGGCCCCTGAACTGAAAATGCCAACTCTTCGGAAAAGAACCAAAAAGAGAAAATTTTGGTTCAAAGAGGACAATTTTACGTACTTTTGTAGCCACCATATTTTAGCCATACCCATTGACGTCAACAAGCGCTATATTGACTCGCTATCGTTAACATTATTATGGTTGTCGTTAAATTTTTTTTTTGAAAATTATAGTAATTTAAATTAAATTAATAGTAGATTTTAAAATTATTTTAAGTAAATAATATTTAAGTGGTAAATAAATTATTTATTGTGTAAATGATTCATTTACAATTAGTAAAAAAGAACTTACGTAGTTAAAAAATTTTAAAAATCTTTACTACGTGGAAAGAAAAATCTTTTTACCAATCGCAAAAGAAAATTTATGTGAAAAAAAATTACTAATTGTAAATAAACTGTTTATTTAGTAAATAATTTATTTACAACGTAAATTACTATTCACTTAATTTAATTTTAAATATATAATATTTACTACAATTTCTCTCTAAAATACCTTTTAATAAAAAGATAACCATCGTGATTATTATTGATCCTTGTGTTGTCATCCTCATGGAGTCCTTGACACATGTACATGTGAAGTGGGTGTTGGTTTTTTTGCAAATGTAAGCTCCGTTCATTTTATAAATTCGAGTTAAAAATTCAAATTTTGCTATAGTAAAACACTCTCAGAAACAGTTACAACTAATTTTTTTGCTACAGTAAAAATCTCACATAAAGTTTCATCTTAACGTGAATTAAAAACTCAAATTAGCGAACTAAACGGCCCCGTAGTTTGAAGGAAAAACACTAATATATTCATTTTACCGATTCAAATTTAGAATTTGAATTTTGCTACAGTAAAAAGCCCTCAGAAACAGTCACATTTAACTTTTTTTGCTACAATAAAAAGCTCTCACATAAAGTCACATCTCTACTCAAATTAAAAACTCGAATCAACGAACTAAACAGGCTCTAAAACTGAATAATTCAAATTATTTTCAAAGCGATATTTATGTTGTATCTTTCTTTAAATATCAATATTTAGTCCGGCACACAAAAATCTTAGCAACACCCGATACACCCGATGTAAATGTAAAACATTATGGGGTTGTTCTTTTTACAACTTAATTTTATTGTTACAGTGTTTGCTCTCATAAAAATTTAAAATTAACTTTTTTACTATAGCGTTCACAATTCATTTTAATAGCGAAGAAGACCGAAAGAGTCATTCCGCTACATCCTTGACACTTCAACAATCAATTAATGATATTATTATAACCCCCCTCGTGAGAGTTGCATTAGTGGGGGCTATAATAATATCATTAATTGATTGTTGAAGTGTCAGAGATGTAGCGGAATTACTCTTTTGATATTCTTTGCTGTTAAAATGAATTGTGAACACTGTAGTAAAAAAGTTAATTTTAAATTTTTGTGAGAAAAAACGTTGCAATAATAAAACTTAAGTTGTGAAAAGAACAACCCCATAATATTCTACATTTGCATCGGGTGTGCCGGGAGTTGCTAAGGGTGTGTTCGTTTGCTCCTTAAACTCAAGAAAACTAAACTTAAGTTGGGGAAGTGAGTCCAAGTTGGTGTTACGTATTCAAGTAAAGACTTGAGTTCTGTCGGATTTTTTGAGTTCAACCCTAACCCTTAATTCATCTTTATTCAAGTTCAGCCATAATTTAAAAAAATTAATAAATAAAATCTTCTATTTTCTCTCATAAATTTTAAAATGTCATAATTTTTTCGTTTTAATTTCGATTGAGATGATTTTTTTTCTATGCGTTCACAATGAAGAGATGAACAAAACCTCATCCATATATCCTATTAAAATTTTCAATCGTCATTGAATTTTTATAAGAATACTATCTAAATACAAACTCAATTTTTTACCCATCGAAACACAAACTCAAATAAATTCTCAACACAAACCATAATTAAAATGTACACAATCAAACACAAACTCAAGTTATAACTCAAACTCAACTCAAGATCTACACTCAAATCACCCTAACTTAAAAATGCAACTCAACAAGCCCTAAAATTTTTGTGTGAGAACTTTACTATCAAGTAAAGAGAGAAACTGTCTTCATCATAGATATTTTTATCAGTAACTCCATGAAAAATTCTTTCTTCATCAGTAAAAGGAAGAACGTCACTCAAACTCGTACGATTTTCCATATTTTTTACCATGAGAAACTTTGAAATACAACAGAACGGAAAACATATTTTGGTTTTACAAATCGTAAAAAGATATATTTTGTCATTAATAAAAAACCACCGTACATGTTGAGGTCTTTGATCTGCAATTATAGGGAATATGCTCTGTAGGGAATTTGGTTTTGATGGATAAAAAGAAGCTCAAAAAGGATAATAATGCAAATCTAAAGTAAAACAAGAACTCAAACCTTCATATACACCTTAATATATGACGTGGGACTATTCGTCGTCAATGTTCTTTGTGTGAGTGTGTGTGCCGTGCCTATCGGGGTCTGAATCCTCTGATCCATTAGAAAGCGTAAATTTCGAATCCCCAATCTCTTACCCCAAAATAAATAAAATGGTAAAAATATTAGTATACCTGTGCAATTAGAGACGCAAGAATGAGCCGGCTCGAACCGGCCTAACCAATTCTCCTTAGGCCTACGCGGGTTATAGGTCGGGTCAGCCCAGCCTACTAGAACTAAAACCTACCCAAACTAGTATTTGATAAAATAAAAAATAAAAAAATAAAAAAAAAAGCATCCTAAGAATTAAATAACATTTTATTTGGAATAAACCTCAGACCTTTTCGGGTAAAGGACATTTTGGAATCTGTTCGTGACATTCTGTTCATATATCGATCGTTGAGCACAAGTGGTCGCCAAAACGTTGAACTGAACACTAAAAACAATGTCGGAAATATACAAACTAGACTCCAGTCATAAGCTTTTCAACAAGAGTAGAAAACAAGGTTATTATTTTAACTAAAATGCAAAGTTTGATAAACATACTTCATACAGGCAAAACATCAAAAACTAGGGAATCCAAACTCACATAATTCATGACTGGATAAAAGATGTCCAAATACTTCCATTTATCATCAATGTAAAAAGGCTAAGATAAACAAAAAGCTTCATCATCCTACAAGCTCACTCATACTGGTTTACCATGGATACTAACTTGATCACATAAAAAATGAAGCAGTCAAGATTTCTGCCAGGGGCAAGTGACACCGTATTCCGGCGATATCACATTTTCACGTTCCAAGGACTCGCTCCTCTATTAAGGAGTTATTTTCCTCATGAGCACCATCTATATCTGGGAGGTCAGTGCTGGTAGAGAACTTCATCAACCCCTTTTTCTCAACATGTTTGAGCAAAGGGTTGATCATAAAGCCGATCGCTATAACACCCATGCTGATCACAAGGACCTTGACTGAAGAGAGAACCAAGACAATACAAATAAAAATGGTTGAAGGAATACACATCACAATGGCTCCGACAGTTCCCACGGGTATCTTGTACGGCCGAGCAGCAGTTGGGCGTTTCACCCTTAACCGCACAAATGCTATGAACTCCAAAATCATTCCAAAGCAGTGCAAGAAGTTTTCAGCAGCTACAATCTCTTGAAAGCTCAACCAACATAGCAATAGAATGCCAGAAGCCGAAAACAAAATGCCCATCAGCGGGGTTCCGTGACGGGACCTCTGAGCAAAGTACGCGGGAAGCATCCCTCGTTCTGCCATTCCGAGAAGTTGAAAAGAGTCGCTGCTCAGAGTAGCCACAAACATCCCCATATTTGACATTGCTGCAGCAACTTGAATCCACCATCTCAACCAAACTCCCCCAAGGATTTTAGCAATATCCGAGAAGTACCCATCAGTCCATAATTCTCGATTGACCGGAACAGCCCCAGTACCAATTAAGAGTGGAAAGAAGTAGGCTAGAACCACCAAGACCAAAGCAATAAACAAAGACTTTGGCAGAATTTTCTTTGGGTTATCTACTTCTCCCGCAAGTGTACTTATAGAATCCCAATAGTTCAGATTCCAAAACAATGTATTCAGATACAAGTTCCAATCCACATTGTGAAGATCCACCTCTAACCATCTTGAAGGCTCCACCTTGGGGATTCCCAAAAGTCCCATGACCACAAAAGGAAGGATGGAAAAATCCCCCAAGACAACATCGAGCCATCCCACGACGTTTAAACCCCTATAGCTCATGTAAGTAAGGACAACTGTAAAAACTAGCACTGCTATGATTCTCGGTACACCACCACCTAAAACCGGGAACGCCGACTTCAAATAGTCCAGAAACAGAATAGGGTACAAAGCATTATCTATAACACCACTCACCCATTTCATCCAACCTTGTTGAAACCCCCAAAAGGGTCCCAAAGCAGAGGACATCCAAACTATACAACCACTATTCTCCGGGAATGTGGTGCCCATCTCAGCAGTTATTAAGGCCCCTGGGATGCTCCATACTATTGGGAATACTAAAAACCCAGCAAGAGCTAGAAGCGGACCGGCCGCCCCAACGCTGTTCTCAATGCCAAATGGGCCTCCGGAAACCTCATAGAATATCAGAAAAACCAGAAGCAGGACTGACACTTTTTTGACATTACTATCTCTTCTAGGGGAATGTACTTCTCCAACTGAGACATATTCAGCACCATTGACATCTCCCATTGCAATAGACGCTTACCCGCTCATGGGTTTCCCAATTTTTGCATGTACAATCAAGTTTCAGTGATCCACTTCTGAATATTCAATCACGTTTTGTACATGATAAACGCGGGGTATTGCCTCCAGCATTATAGCATAGTACAACTAAAGTAAGAAAAAAAAAAAAAAATATATATATATATATATATATATTGGAATGGAAAACAGTGTTGCCAAAACACAAAGTTTTAGCCACAATCGAGAGACTAATCGAAATTTGTTTAAATTTAAAGGCATCCAATATAATTTTTTATCTACCAGAATACTTTTCTGCCAACATAGTACTTTAATTTTATCTGAAGGACATGTTCTTGTCACTCCTACTCAAGTTTTACAACAGCCACATAGATACTTTAATCTTTACAATTGTTCTTTCGGAAAAAGAATGCTGTCAGTATTCTTGATCTTTGTGCTTATGGGTTCCATTTTTACCTGTTCTCTACTTTGATACTTTTATTCACATTATGCCTGAAATACTTCAGTTACATATTATCAAGTATGAGAATAGAATGAAATGAAGCCTCAACATTTTAATGAATACAGTTCTTTCATCTTTGAGGTCAGTATCTTGCTAGAATCGTCATACGTATATAAACAGAATTGTCCTTGATTCTACTTATATCTTCTAATAACTGTACAAGATTTTCTGCACCATAATATGGTACTTATCACACTTTACTGTAAAATGAAAAGAAGAAATTAGTATTATTGGGTGACCAGATCACTAATATGACTAAGGCCTCTGAAAATGCCATCCCTTTCGAAAAGGAACCAACAAGGAAAAGTTTTGGTATGTTTTGGTTCAAAGATGGCAACTGACTTACTTTTGTAGCCACTGAAAGGACATTGAATCACACTGCGCGCAACCCATTTATTCAATAAGAGCTATATTGACAATGTATTATTATTGTTGATGTTATTGGTGGTGCTAATTTTTTTTTTCTTTTTCATAGTACTAAAAAAGATATTTCAAAGATAGCACTAGTTTTTTTTTTTTTTTTTTCTTTACATTATCATGTTATTTTTTTTAATAATTGTAGTAACTATCTGTTATCATCAGTAGTCATAAGAGTGCATTTTATAATTACTCATGGTGATTATATTATTTGCTTATGGTACATTACTACCTGGTAGTAACAAAAGAGGAAAAATCAAAATCGATGTTATTTGTATAATACTTTTTTTTATTAAAATACTAATTCAACAGTTAAAATAACAGTTCCTGCCGGTATGGTAAAGTAACAATTTTTATTGTAAGAGTTCCCTAAAAATAATATTTGGAAAGAATTATGAGTCCCAAAGACAGAAGAGTACATGATTGCATGTGCAGAGCATTTTTTGAACTAGAAAATTTTCTAGTTACAAAAATTTTCCTTTGAATTGTACCCCAAGTTTATGAAACGTGTGATTTCAAATAAAATGGGAGTGCACCTACAATAGAAGGTTGAGTGGGCACGGGATGCGGATTAGACCTGCGGATCCAACCTATGAGGTTAAAGATAAGATAGAAAAGCCATACTGACTCAGTGAGTAAAGTTAAAACCTCAGGTTGCAAGACCAAGAAGGAACACCTAAAGATATATATACATACTTGATGAGATCAAAAATTAAAAATATAATTTTTGAATAAATTCAAAACACAGAATATAAAATGATAAATATCTTAAATCTTTATTACGCCAAAAAGCTTTCCATTCCTTTTAACGTGTGTCGCAATAAAAGAAGGATTCTCCTTCTTTTGACACAATTCATCACTTTTACCATTCTTTTCTTTAAAAAAAAAAACATTTTCATGATTTTTTATCTTTTCTTTTTTTATTTTTAAGCTTTTATTAAACTATCTTAAGGAATAATAAGTTACAAAAAATAAAAATTTTAAAGAAAATTTAGATCTTTGTATTAAAAAATGTAACACGTTCATGTGCTTTCAACTAGTAAATATTAAATGTATCAAGTCAATAAAGCCTGACATTGAAATATATGTGTTATGGTTTACGCTTATAAACTATTTTTAACATTTTCTAGGTAATCTTTCCATTTCACAAGTTCTCTTTTTAGAGGAAATCTCTTCCTCTTCTTTTGTACAATATTTTTCCTTATCAATAAAAGTCCCTTAGTTTCTGTTTCAATATGTGTGTTGTGTGTGTAGCATAGAGGGTGAATTCCACAAACAATTTGTTTCAAGGACCATTGGCCAAATCAGATCTCGTCTTGAGTCGCCAGTTGATAACCTTGAGTCAATCGGAAGTATGAATGATAAAATAAGGTACGGAAAACATGTAAAGAGATACGAAAACACAAATTTATAATGATTCACCTCTAAAGTGTAGTGGATGTAGGCTACATTCACTGTAGAGTTTAGGGGGTTTCACTATAATGGAGAAAGAGAACACATTACGCTTGAGAATAAGAACGGGGAAGGGAGAGCAAATTTTCAAACAATAATGGAGTGAAAAATGCTGCCAAATTTGTGGGAATGGTCCATATTTTCAGAGATCCTCCTGCTTCTAATGGTTTCCCAATTCTGTGTGGATTGAGCCTTAACATCTTCAATGGAAGTTTCCTTTTCTAGCCCTATTTAACATCTCCTTTCAGATCAAGAAAGTCCCTTCTTGAGTCAGATTCGGTCCTTGTTTCCCGGTTTGTGCAATCTGGTGGTTGTCCTTCAAGAAGGTTGTCCTTCTTCAGTCGCCTAAGAGTGGGTTCCGTGGTCCCTCAGTCCATCTGTGGTCTCCAATCAATTAGTAGTCTCCAGTGATATGCTTGTTTGGAGGTGATCAAAGTTGACACGTATTCAGTGAAAGATGAGGAACAGAATCTGACCCCAACACGTAGTTAGACACTGAGCGACGACAAAGTGAACGACTTGGTGTTGCGGTGGTCTAGTGGTCTACTTGATCAAACAAACATTTTTTTCAAATTGGGTGGTTATGACCTTTATTGTCTCTGTCTTAAGAATTATTCACGGTATAAAAAAAGGCACCTTATTTGTGTTTCTAAATTATTATTATTATTATTGAAAAAAAAAATCCCCATTAATAAAGTTCAACAATAATATTTTCAAGTTTAATTAATTATTAGACTAGGCGTGTCACACTTGTAGAGAAGGTAGTCATCCCTTCCTCTGTTGCTCTATGCACAAGTTCGTGATATAAGGAAACAAAAAGTAAAGAAGCATTAAAGAACAAGATGAGTCTGATATACTCACTTTGCCATCCCTGCGGGAGAGGTATTTCCCCAAGTTGTGAATAATCAAAATCAAATCTTGAACCTGAAAAAAGAAAAGGAGAAGATGCTTCTTACCACTTGGTTTTAACACCAAAAAATCAATTGTTATTATACAGAAAAGGTCGATTTTTATCCTAATGTGAACAACTCGGTTCCGGTAAAAAAAACCTGAAAGCCTGCACTAGATAAGAGTAGTTGCATTAGTACATCACTGAAAGAAGAACACAATGAACCTGCAACTGAAGTAAGAAGGAAAATAACTGTAATTGTTATTGTAGTAGTTCCTAGAAGAATTTTTTTTGTACTGAATAAAGTCAACAACAGCATTGGACGGACACAAACGTCAAGGTTTAGATACTATTTCATTATAAGCAAAAACAAGTGTGTTTGAATTCCTATTACAGCCTCTTGACTGAGACGATTCAAAGTCGTTAAATATTGCATCTGCAGATAAGAAATGCTTCAACTTTTGAATGTGAAATCCACTTCTCAATCAAATAGACAGTTGAAGTTCTTATGCTTGTCCACCTGTATACTTAGCAAGATAGAATATATCAATATTAGACAGCGCTCCACAGAGATCACAAGCTGACCAACTTCAATTGGATATCAGATGCATCGTCTTACCTATTCCAAAGTTGAGACTTTGACCACCAAATGCACGTTGGTATATTTTTCCGTCTTCAGTTTGACAAAAGGGGTAGTCCATAATTTTCACACTCTATCACAGCTTTTGGCGTTTCCCTACGCAAATGCACATAAAAAGCCTACCCCGAAAAGAATACAGAACCAAGCGGAAAATAATATATGCAGCACACTGTCTGTTCATACTTCATACCCCTTCGAGAGACACTCTACATGAGGTAGATTCTAGATGGAACGCTTGGGACCTGACGAGAACCTCCAACTAAGCAAAAGCTAATATTAAATCTAAAAATTTGTTGAGTGTAACTGCAATAAGAACACGTTAAGCGAATATAATAGTCAAAAAGTATATCCAAACCAAGAAACGGAGCACAACTAAACGCAATTAATCATATAGGTAAGTTATTCTCATTTTAATGATCAAATATAAACAGAGGAGATTAGATTTTCCTAGTTAAACCAGCAACATACCAAGCCAATCACTGAAAGGAGAGGAGGCAGCCGTTGTTAATGACGTTGTGGAAGAGGCTGTCACAGTCGGAAGCCTTCTCAGAATCTCTACCAAGATGTCCTCTCGGAGTTCCATTACTGCTCAGAATTAGGGTTTGGGTTGTCAGCAGCATTGGTCTCTGATCAGATTGCGCATAATTGAGAAGATGTTTCTTACACTTTCTGAACTATTATTTAAAAACGGCTATGGTTTGTACTTTTACATAAAGATGATCAAAAGTGAACATAATTATGGACGGGGAGGAAAGTGAAAATCGTTTCACATCAGACTACTTTACTTTTGTATGGCTTTTTCTTGGCATGAACCTTGAGATCTTTTCAAGTAAAGATGTTAATGCGCTTGTGCCATCTCCAAAATATGGAAATGGAATTGAATAATATAACATTTTCGGAAATGTAAAATTAAAATCCAATGAAAATCTAAGGAGAAGCTTTTAAGCAAGAGTAAAAACCAAGGTTATAACTTAAATGCAAAGTTAGATATGCATGTTTGATACAAGGCACAGCATTCAAATAAAATAACATCTCATTTGGCATGAACAGATGAACCTCATAGACTTTTCAAGTAAATATAACATTTTGGCATCCGTTAGTGACATCTATTCATATATGTTTGTTGAACTATAGAAACACTTTTGGAAATGTACAATTAAAATCCAAAGCTAAGCTTTTCAGTTTTCACCAAGAGTATAAAACAAGGTTATTTCAACTAAAATGCAGTCTGATATACATAATTGATACAAGGCACAGCATCAAAATCTACAGAAACCAAGCTCACATAATTGGTGATGTGATCAATGGTGCAATTTCCAAATATGTCCATTTATCATCAATGTAAAAAGCTAGGATGACAAACAGCTTTATCCTACTAGCTCACTCAATCTAGTTTACCATGGATACTAACTTGATCACAAAAAGCAAAGCAGCCCAAGATTTCTGCCTGGGGCAAGTGAGACATATTTGGGGATATTGTGTTTTCACGTTCGAAGGACTGGCTCCTCTATTAAGGAGTCCCTGTCCTGAGGAGCAGCATTAAGATCTGGGAGGTCGGTGCTGGTGGAGAACTTCATCCATCCCTTTTTCTCAACATGTTTGAGCAAAGGATTGATCATAAAGCCGATTGTTATAGCAGCAATACTGATAACAAAGACCTTGAGTGAAGAAAGAGCCAAGACAACACAAATCAAAATGGTTGGCGGAATACACATGAGAAGGGCCCCAACAGTTCCAACGGGTATCTTGTAAGGCCGAGCTGCATTCGGGTGTTTTACCCTTAACCATACAAATGCTATGAACTCCAAAATCATTCCAAAGCAGTACAAGAAGTTTTCAGCAGCTACAATCTCTTGAAAGCTCAGCCAAGACAGCAAAAGAACGCCAGAAGCTGAGAACAGAATGCCGACCAGCGGGGTTCCATGACGAGAACGCCAAGCAAAGAACTCGGGCAGCATCCCTCGTTCTGCCATCCCAAGAAGTTGAAAAGAGTCGCTGCTCATTTCAGCCACAAACATCCCCATATTTGACATTGCCGCAGCACCTTGTATCCACCATCTCAACCAAACTCCCCCAAGGATTTTAGCAATATCCGAGAAGTACCCATCAGTCCACAATTCTCGATTGAGCGGAACAGCCCCAGTACCCATTAAGAGGGGAAAGAAGTAGGCTACAACCACCAAGATCAAAGCGAAAAACAAAGACTTTGGCAGCGTTTTCTTCGGGTTATCTACTTCTCCGGCAAGTGTACTTATCGAATCCCAATAGTTCAGATTCCAAAATAATGTGTTCAGATACAAGTTCCAATCCACATTGTGAAGATCTACCTCTAACCATCTTGAAGGCTCAACCTTGGGGATTGCCACGAGTCCCATGACCACAAAAGGAAGGATGGAAAAAATCCCTAAGACAACAGCTACCCATCCCACTATGGTTAAACCCCTATAGTTCATGTAAGTAAGGACCATTGTCAAAACTAACACCGCTACAATTCTCGGTAAACCGCCACCTAAAACCGGGAATGCCGCCTTCAAATAGTCCAGAAACAGCACTGGGTACAGAGCATTATCGATAACACCACTCAACCATTTCATCCAACCTTGCTGAAACCCCCAAAAGGGTCCCAAAGCAGAGGATACCCAAACCACATAACCACCATTCTCAGGGAACATGGTGCCCATCTCTGCAGTAATCAGAGCCTCTGGAACGCTCCATATTATTGGGAACACTAAAAACCCAGCAAGAGCTAGGAGCGGACCGGCCGCCCCGACGCTGTCCTCGACACCGAAGGGGCCTCCGGACACCTCATAGAATATGAGGAAAACCAGGGGCAGAAGTGAGACTTTGTTGACATTACTACCTCTACTAGGGGAATGTCCTTCTCCAACTGAGATATATTCAGCACCATTAACCTCTCCCATTGCAATAGGCGCTTGCCCACCCACTGTGTTTCTCGTTTTCTGCATATACAATCAAGTTTTTATCATCCAATTCTGAGATTTCAATAAGTTTTGAATTGAACATAATGAAGATTAAATGCCGGGGTTTTGCCTCTATAATTGTTGCATATTATAACTTAAGTAAACAAGGAAAATATTGGAATGGACAAAACACAAAAAATTTAACCAAATTAACAAAAATAAAAGGTGGGTTTCATTTGCATAACATTCATCTAAATCCCAGAATCCGAATTCACAATAACAAAGCGAAAAAGAAGAATACAGATTATGAAAAACAAAAAAACAAAACGAAACAAAAACTAAAACTAAACAAAATTTAAAAAAAAAAAAAAAAAGATTTCACTTAATATCATGTAAACTAATTGTGCATGTAGCTAATTGCAAAGCCTAGAGGATTGAATTTCAATGCCTAAAGAGAAAGCGAGGAGTTCATCATTTGAATTTGATGAAAAAGGAAACAACATTAAGAATCTGAGAGATTCATTGAGAACCGTGATATAGAAAAAAATGAGAAAATTGACAAACCATGCAAAAACGGCTCGAATCAAAGCTGAGAGTGGGTAGGTAATCTCATTTTCCGCCATTGTATAAATATATATAGAGAGAGAGAGGGAGGGGAGAGAGAGAGGCGAAGGAAAGGAAAAGCTTCATATGCGATATAACACCTCAGCTCTCCAACCAGAGTGCGTGGAGGAGTCAGACGCGGCACGTATTCGATATTCCTCAACAACAATTACTTCTGTTTACTTTTAACTTTTAAGTGAAAAAAAAAAAAAGCTACAGTCGTTTATTTTCTTTCTTAAAATGAGTGACAAAGTACTTTTTTAAAAAAATTGATAGTTTCAGAATAATAATTAATCTATTTATTTTTTTATCAAATTGATAAATAAACTTTAAATTTTAATTCTATAAATTTAAATTTTTTTAAGCAAATTTACTAATTATAAATAATAATTCATTTATCATATTATTTAGTATTGAAAATTCTATAATTAGCTTGAATTTCTGTAATTTTCAACTTTGAATTTTTTCCTTATTAAATAATAATTCATTTTCTCATATTATTTAGTTACTAAAAATTCTATAAGTAGTATAGAAAAAAAATCCGTTATTAGCTTTGTATGCCTTCCAACTTTGAATTTTGTCCTTGTACTTGAGCTTCCAGATTTTTGGGCTGTGTTGTTCGTTACTTTAAAGAGAAAATGGTAGTAAAAAACAGGTTTTTAAAACTAAATTAAATAAATAGCATATTTTAAAATTATTTAAAATAAATAGTAATTTATGTGGTAAATAAATTATTTATGATTGGTAAAAAATAACTTAAATCTTTATTTATATGGAAAAAAAATTTATCAGTCCAAAAAAATTATGTGAAAAAAATATTTTTACTAGTTATAAATGAATCAAGCATTTATTAACCATGTAAACTATTATTTATTTGAAATAGTCTTAAAATCTATTATTTACTTAATTTAGTTTTAAAATATGTTATTTATTGCGTTCTCCCTTATTTAAGCTGCATTACATACTTTATTTAAGCTATTTTTAAAAAAAAAAAAATCCTTATAGTGGAGCAAGCTATTTTGTTCCACCAGTGGGTACATAATTAAATCTGTGTAAGTTCGTATTAAAAATTTATAGTACGTCATACATAATTACTTATACTATAGATATAACTGTTAAAAATTAATCCAATATTAAAAATACAATCCCCACTAATAGAATAAAATAACTTACTCTACCGTAAAACTCTTTTTTCTCCTCAATAAAAGTAGAGATATCTTCCCGATGTGCCACACGCTTTCTAAAATCTATGCTGACCAGAAGAGCCCCACACACTCCCCATACTATCAAAAATGCATATCGGACTATTATCACTTGCATATTAAAAACGCGTGATTTTAATCCCATTAATAACCTAAAAATAATCTCAAACATTACTCAAATGATTCAAACACAACCTTATTCTCCACTAAACCATATATAAGTAAGCTTAATGCCACTAAACTACAACTATAGAGCCACGTTTTTTTTTTTGTTTTTTCCTCTTTTTTTGGTGAAAACTTTAGAGCCCATTTGTTGGGGACAACAAATTAGTTAAAGCGCACGGACACATTCTGGCAATGCATGCCATTCACGTTTTTAATCTACCACAATAAATGGAGACAACAACGAACCAATTCTTTAAAGTTTCAAAAGCTATTAAACTAGTTAAATTAGCTTCCTAAAAAAAAAACAGAGTCGTGAGGCATTTTATCGTAAACTAACTACGAAGTTGTATTGTATTATTGGGATAAATGAAAACTTTAAACTAAATTTATTACCAATAGAATATAATTTTTCACTTTAAGCTAAATTTATCACCAATAGAATATAATTTAATGAAAATTAAGAGTGTAAATGAACTTTTATATAGTTTAGATAAAGTTTAGAACCAAAAAATTTAAGGGAAAAATAATAGATTTTATATCTAGCTTCAGGGTACAAATGATACTTTTTAAAGCACGCACCGTATATTTTGGAATCAGAAAATTTTAGGAGAAAACAAGAAAAGAAAAAAAAGTGGGGAGTGGGGGCGGGGATAAAATAACTTTTAAAAAAACTATGGAGCCGGTTGGGTTGCAAGAAAAAAAATAGGGGGATAACATAACTAAAAAAATAAAAAAAAATAAAATAATTATGGAGCGCCGGTCGGATAGGGGGTTGCAGCCCCTTTACCCTTAGTTCCCTCCATCCATATGTATTATTATTAAATATTAATACAATGGTTTAATATAACTTTTCTAAAAATTTGGATAAACAATTGTTTTTTTTTCAGAAGTTTTGATTCTTCATATTAAAATTGACAAATAATTTCTAAACTTCAATAGCGGTAATTATTTTTTTATTGCGTAATAACTTGAATTTTTGCAAAAAAAAATATTTACACTACATATTAAATATTCTCTTTATTATCATTAAACTTCATTGATAATTAGAAGATTTTGTATTTAATGTAATTATTCATGAAATTCTTTTTATTATGATGCAATGTGGATATAATTATTGATGTAAATGTCAAAAATCTTTTCTCAATTTTAATATCAGAACTCAAAAACTGTCAAAAAAAAAAAAAAAAAAAAAAAAAAAAAAAAAAAAAAAAAAAAACATAACTAGGTGAGCAATTTATGGTTATCATTGAAAAGTTCAGAGACTAACAGCGTTAATAACCTTTCTTTTGGTTGCATCCAAGACTTGGAAAAAAAAAAAAAAAGCATAACCAGTTGATCCACTTATAGTCATTGTTAAGTGGTAAGGTGGGGGCACTTTTTATGTCCTTTAACATTTGTTTCTTTAATTGATAGAACATTCGAAAATGCGGACATATAAGCATTACTTTAAAATTTTTAATTGATTAGGAAAATAAATCATTACTTTTGTTCAAGTGAGCATAATTACTACTCAAACTGTTGAAAGCAGCCTCATTTTGACTGGCTTTTCTCAGACCAAAGAACATGTAGGCCAGTCCCAATCGCACGGGTGTAGAAAGTTATGTTCTAGGTTTGTTTTTATTTTTTAAATTGATTAATTATTTTATTTATTTATTTTTGCTAATGATAATCAATGGATTTTGCCATTGCTAAAGAGATAAGGTTTTTTTTTTTTTTTTCCTTTTATTTTTGCCTCATCTCAAAGCTAAGGAAGATGAGTACGAAGACAGTCATTCACAACTTCAAAAGTGCAAAATCACATTATGAGATGGAATTAACTCCTTCAAGTGGTAGGATCTATGTTTTCCTTCCCTTTGCTTCGTAGTAATATAATAAATTGGAAGAATTTACATAAATAAATAAAAATTAGAGGATTAACACAAATAATTAAATTTACTAAAATACGGCATCTCAAAAATTAGATACAAAACATCCTAAAAAGGTTCGTCAAATTCTAGGAAGCAAGAAGATCTCTAAGTGGGGTTTTATCCAAAATGATGACTCTTTTAAGAACTTTTTAATCTCCAAAAACAAAATGTATCACTAACCTAAAAGTCTATGTGATCAGCATGACATTAGGACAATGAAAAATGGTTTTCTCCAAATTTTCCTTTCTGGAATGTAGAAACTATTGGCTTATAATGTAAAATAGAAAGATCACTTTTATATTTATAGGCAAAATAAGTTATTTATCCCTTTACAAAACAAGTAGACTCCAGCAATTTAAACTTTTTCATAAATTAAGCTTGCGTCACTTGTGTAGCAATCAAATCCACTACAAACATTGGTTGGCACATTATATTAAATTATCCATAGTTTTAATTACAATAACTCGACCACGTTATATTAAATTATCCACAGTTTAATTACAATAACTCGAACAATTAAATTATCCACAATTTAATTACAATAACTCGGACAATGTGATTGTGCTTAGCGTCTACATTGAACAAAAAGTTAAAGTTTTGGGCCTGTTTGTTTGCGTTTTCGTTTTCGTTTTTCACGATTTTCAAAGCAAAAAAATGAAAACGGGTGTTAAAAACGTGTTTGGTGCAATTTTTTTTTAAAAAACAAAACCAAAAACGTTTTTGTCTTTTTGTGGAAATCAGAAAACGAAAAAAAGGTGTTTTCATTTTCTCGTTTTCGTTTTCTGTTTATAGAAAAACGGATTTCACTTTTTTTTTTCTTTTTCATTTTCTTCCCTCTTTTCCGAAACTGTTTTTGTATTATATATGTTTATTTAATATATTTATTTAATATATTTAATAATA